TTTATGATTTTTTTTTCTTTTTTATTCAGATTTTTCTTTTCTTGTTTCTTTGACTTTTTAAAAATCTTACTCGTTACAAACATCCTCAGAAGATTTTTCTATCCACTCCAAAATTCCACTAGCTTGTCAAAATCCATATAGCTATCAATTTATTAGATTTTTTTTTGTTTGTTTGTTTCATTTAAAATACAATCCATTTTCTTTGACAGATATGATATATAAACTTGGAAAAATTTTATGAAACACAATTCCCAAGAGACTTTCAAATTATGAACACACTGTCTTTAATTTTTCAGACACATTTCATTTTTTTTTCTTTTCTTCTTCTTCTCTTTTTAGACTGATGAATCTTTTGATCCATCATCATAATAATGTACAAATAACAGTGAAATATTCACTGGCTTTCTGTTATTAAGAAATAAAGCATTTTTATTATTCTGTATATTTCTTATAGCCACATCATACATATTAATTTTTTTTCTTATCATGAACACAGTACTTTAGTAGATTCACAGGACCAAGTGCTATAGTCCTTTGTTATTATTACCTAACAAACAGAAAAAAATCACATTTTTTTTTTGTAGTAGTCTCTGGGAAACATAGTGTTTCAAATGACTTTAATAGTAATGATAATATGAATTGTTTCCTTATAAAAAAACATTTGGAGTTTATTAACCAAGCAGCCAGTGCTACTTTTAGTTGAAATTTATATCATCTTTCTCTTAAAACAATTCTTCAGGAAAACAGGTTTTTCTAGTCTTCTGTGATAACAGAAGACTAGAAAGACTAGTATTGATGTGCTTTTCCTTCCTAAACTTTTGTTTGAAGTAGTATGGAATGTCAGCATCTTGATTATGTCATTATTTTCTCTTTGAGTTACATGTGTTATCCATTTTAGTTGTTACTACTGTTGGAAGCCCTCAAGTGATGTGCTCTGTTATTTTGTACAGATCTTTGATGAAATCAAAAGCAAAGTTAATAGAATAATGGCTACAAAGTGAGAGAATAAAATTACAAAGCATAGTCTATAATGTAAAAGAAGATCTGATTCTCTGCCCATCACACACTGTGTGTTACTTTGCATGCATTTATATGCATATATTTGTGTTATGCATGGCATATATGTGCTTTTGCCATTTAATGTGCATGCACACATACACACACAGTTTACTGAGTTTGAAATAAGATATAGGAATCATAAATTTACCTCTCACTCAGTCTGGATAACCCCTACCATGGGTTATGCAATAATTTTGTAAAGTAGGACTCGGTATACTCTCCTACTACTATGATAATGGACTAATCCTACTTATAAATATGGCAAGTAGCTGCATTAGAGTAGAATTTGAGTAGTATTTGATTTACTTGAGTATTTTCATTCTATGTATGAGTATTTCTTCTCTGTTTCCTCTACCTAGTCTTCCATTCCTTTCATACTCTCTCTAACTATGGCCTTCCTAATTCTCAGCTCTTTTGAACAAAAACAACTTTACAACAAATAAAATCATACATTTGGAAACAAGAAAAACCAAAAAACATTAACTAATTTTTTTCTAACTTTATGAAAATTATTCAGCAATAAATTGAATTATTTTTTTATAATTAATTTTTTAATAATGTTGAAATATTTTCATGTCTTTCAGTGAAATAAATATATATATGTGCACATACACACAAATTAAATTGATAGTGTGTTCTGTGCATTAATTTTCTTTTCAGTCTGGTTATAACCAATGAGTAACAAGAAAAATCGACTCTTTTCATTTTAATGACTCTTGCTGTATTTTAGGAGCCGACTTATACTCTTTTCTTGTTAACCATGGGTTGTTACCAGACAGACTGTATTTTAGGATGTGCATTCTGGTATAATGGATATCAGTTCAGAATAAGAAATTGGAGAACCAAGATCAAATTCAAGTCAGGTCATTACATTCACTTATGCACAAATCCCTTTCGAAAGGTATGAATCCATGTCTTTTTTTTTTCTCCAGCTATGGGTTGAAAAGCAAGACAGACTGGGTTTTATACCCTTGGTTGACAACCAGTCTACTATGAAAAGAAATGGTGAGCTACTGCAGGAAAATCTTCTGCCTTGTCCATCATGAATCGAAAAGTCAATGATGGCTCAAGCATGTATCACGTATAGCACTGAACTGACTGACTGAATTTTAACTATATATTTTCTCATAAATTTATTTTAAATGGAAAAATAATTTAGATTTGAAATTTGATCATCTAAACCAGAAAGGGAAAACTGGAGAGTGTCACAGTTTAATAATAAAAAGTAGAAATGAAGATTTTATTTCCATTCCTTATCACTTTATTCCATTTTATGCTATTCTCTTCTTCATTAATATATTTTAACCTGTAATTATCCAGCCTTCTTTTATCATCTGAAGTTCCAAGATGAAGTATTTTCATTAATACATAAGTATGGAATATTCTTTTTGTATTTATTATTAATTACATTTCCATTACTACATTGTTAGATTTCTCAGTGAAAGTGTTACACTTTTTATAAATAATTATAAAATATGTGAAATGTTTTGTCAAATGGAAATGATTCCTAAAGAAGAAATTTCTATTTTGATTTTAAATAATTACTCGATTTGAAAATCATAAATATAATACAAGAGCAACAACAACAGGATGAGTATGCCTTATTCATTGTTCACTATATATACCAGAGATCTGAAATGAACTGAATTAACCTTTGATCTAAGAGGTGACCCCAACATATGATAAGTTGACCCTAAGAGAGACCAAAGTAAGGTTTGTACACAGTATCATACCAGAACATCAAAAGAGCTAAGTGTTGACCAAGAAAGTGACCACAGGGCCACTGAGTGCAGAATAAACCTCAAATGTAGCTGTGACGACATACAAAAGGAAGTCAAGCCAGTTGAACCTAGAATATACACAAATAAGATAACCAGATGATAGGAAGTTATATAAATGCCTAATTTAATGTCAACCATGAGCTTTGATCTAAAATGAGTTGATTTGCATTGATCCCTGTATTTATTAGGCTCACCCTAACAGATACCAAATTAAGCTTTCACACAGTATCACATCAGAACATCAAAAGCATTAAGTGTTTCAGAGTGTTGACCAAGAAGGTGAACCTCATCACCATCAAGTGCAGAATCAGCCTCAAATGATGTCAGTGGCTTTCCCCAACATATAAAGCCAGCTAAACATAGGATATACACATGCAAGACCATAGGATAATAGGAAGATATAAATACCCAACTGATGTTGGAAAATATAGAGTCCCACAGATTTTTTCAAGATCAAACATTTGAAGTTCACAAACCAACATACCTTCCACAGCCAACATTAATGGAGTCCAGAAGTGAATGAACAATTATTTTGTGTATGAAAGATTTAGTCTTATATTCTTTACAAACATAACATTAGAATGTTGTGGATGGTTTAACGGATAGCAATTCAAAATAAAAATCAGATAATCAAGTTTCAAATTCTAATCTACTCTGTTATTTACCCCTAGCTTTGTTAGAGGAGAAAAGATGGATTCATAGCTTTCCAAGGACATTTGCATGAAAATGAATGCAACAGATTTGAATTTGATATGCCAATCAAACTTTCTGTGCTGATAACTGCTACACGATACATGCGACCTAATATATAATATATTTTTTGTTTGATTCATACTATTATTTACATCTTTGTTTGTTATAGATATTATTATATATATTATGTATTATTCAAGATGCTATGATAAATGCAACTTTTGGTTCTCTTCAGGTATCCATTTGGCTGATGGGAAATATCTCTGATTCTTGTGTTACTTGTCTGTATAATATGAATATCCAGGTTGTGTCATGTATAGAAGCTCAATGTGAAAAACTAGAGAGTTATGTTTGAATTCCAGTCAGGTTTGTTACATTCACTTAAGTGCAAATACCTTCAAGTCCATCTCTTCTACCCAGTTAAGGGTTAAACAGTAGAACTTATGTTTGGAAAAATTGTTTTTTTTTTTTTTTTTGCTCATTCACAAAACAGAATTATTCTTACAATCCAAAATATGTTTCAACTTTAAATAACCCACAAAGGGTTGATAAGCTGTAAAAAAAAACAAATCAATCAATAATATAACATTAAATAAATATGGCTGCCTTAAGCAGTCCGTCAGGATTCTGAAAAATCTAATATGGATTTGTAAATACAAAATCTGAATGTACTCACTGTCCCTGCAAATGGGATGCCACACTTTCCTGTGGAAATCTAGCATTATATTTTATTGCACCTGTTTTACAGAAAAAAATTAAATAAATGAGCTAAAATATTCAACAAAGTTTATTTGAAAATTTCAAAAGCACATATTCCAAGTAAAGACATTTTAAAGAAAGCAAAAAAAAAAAAAAGTGAGACAGAAAATATTAATCATTAGATCGATAATATTGCACTTAAAGCCGGGGATTATAATTCCTGTCTATTTTTTTTATTTCCTGTGATTTTAATCAATTTTTCAAGAAATATGTTTTTAGCTGTTTTATTTCTTTTTCTTTTTGCCTGTGTGAATTTGTGTGCATACATAGTTTTCACTTCCTTCAAAAGTGCTGTGCAAATCTTTAGAAAATTGCTTGTTTTAGATTTTTTTTTTTTAATTACAATTATTGAGTCGTTTCTAATGTTTGCTCTTGTTTTGTTCCTTCTTAAAGAAAAAATATATCTGATGTATGTCCAATTACTTTTCATGTTCTAAGGAATGGGGTTACTCAAGATTAACAGTTGCAAAAAAAGTATAAAAAATCTTACTTTGGAATTATATAGACATATGTAAGATGATTTCTATCTGAATTATTTAGATAAGGTTCTGTTGTTTTTCTTCTTTTTCTTACTATTTTTATTCTTCTTCTTCTTCTTATTATTATTATTATTATTATTATTATTCACATGTTCACAGCAGATATCTGGTGGTTATTCCGGAAGAGTGAGTGACATTTACTCTCCTCAAATCTTCACATTGAAACTATTTCCCGTCCGATCACCAAAGTTAAGCAATGTCGAGTCTGGCCAGTACCTAGATGGGTGACCGTTTGAAAATACCAAGTGCTTTAAGCTTGGATATATAGGTGGTGTAATGGATAATGGTTCCAAATTGTTAATCAGAGACCTGAGTTCCAATTTCAGTTGGATTCGCTATATTCACTTATGTGCAAATACCCTTCAGAAAGGTATGAATCTATCTATGGGTTAATTAGTAAGTCTTGTATCACTAAAATCATTATTCATAAATAAATGATATTGCATACAAAATATTTAAACTTCAGCATTAATTGAGCCCCAGAGGTTATGTCACTAAATAAAAACAATCAACCAATCAAATCTTCAGCACCCATCTTCCTCACAGATCCTGGCAACACTATAATCTCGACATTCAAACTTGCTTTAGATTTCCTATTTATCCAGTTTTGATTCCATTAGTTATTATGGGTACTGCTCTACTTTTGAGGTTTCATCTTTCTCAGCTCTTGAGCAAGGTCCTGGTATTTTTTATCCACATTCTCACTATCATTCATGTTCACTCTGTGGCTATGACTAAAATCAAACAAGTTCTTTTCTTTATTTATTCTTGTCAGATCTCAATTCTTTGTTTGGATGGATTGGTCAAAAGAATCTTTTGAACTGGTATCCTCAATTTGGTTGTTTTTATCATAATTCTTTAGCTATTGTAGTTTTGGCCTTCTTCACGAAGACATTTTGAATAAAACATTTTATTTTCATCAGTGGGCATATATTATTCTTGTCCTTTCATCGCTGTCATGTCTGTTGTTGTTTCAAGGGATTCATAATCATCAAATGCTTCAATGTTATGTCTTCTTCTTTGTAAGTCAGCAATTCAGTTCAGATTTCAAACAGAGAAAGCAGAGGAGCAACATGAAAAAGTGTCACAGGACAACACCCTAGTGGATTAAAGTATTGGTTGATAAACAGAGTAGTACAAACTCAGTGAAAATAGGGTGAATAATAACTATGCAATATAATGCAGTTTGAAAAAAAGAAAATAAATTATATATAAAAGTGATCATAGAAGTCAACACTTAGAGGCGACAATCTGTTTTATGCTATATGCAATCGTCAGGCCTGACGATTGCATATAGCATGAAACAGACTGTCACCTCTATGTTGACTTCTATGTTAACTTTTATATTTACACACGCTCTATCTCTGATATCAAGCACTTTATCCCATAAATATAGCACACCTTAAGACTATATTTCTTCATATATATATATATATATATATATATATATATATAATATGGCTTCACCACAAGATTCTTTTTACGTATGTATTCTCAGAATCCTTCTGTAGAACCACAATTCTGTGCTTCAAGTCTCTTCTACATCTGTGAGAAAATTGTCCAGCATAGAAAGCAAATAATGAGAACAATATATTGCTCTCAAAAAAAAAATAAATAGTTCATTAAATTTTTAAAGTTTGTTAAACTACATATAAGATAAATTATCCTTAGATATAGAGAGAACAATGGGAAAAATCTCCTTCCCTAGATTAAATGAGGTATTCTGTTTAAAATTCTCTTCCAATATCTGAATAAGAGCACAATGGCTGAAAAATTGTAATAACAACAACAAAGATGAGGATATTAATCTGACTGTAAACAATGTAAATAATGGTAACATCCCATTCCAAAAATTGAGAAAAAAAGAAAAAAGTAATAATTATAATCTCAAGGACAGCATCCACACATTCCTCTATGTGCCAATATCCCTTCAGTATGTTGGCAATCATGGCTCTCCACAAATGCCTGTCCTTTGTAGCTCTTAATAATTTTTTCTTTTTGTTATCTCTCCTAAACCTTGCTTCACCATCCATTTACTCAAGTTCATTATGTAGGCTATACATTGTTTTACTCTGTCCCTTTGACTTCAGTCTGTCCTGTGAGTATCAAATTTTCCAAGCCGTCATTCCTCATTATGTGCCCTAGAAATTTCAACTCTTTCTGATATTAAGCATAAGTGTCCATTTTGTTTCCATTTTTTTCTAAAACATTTTTGTTGCTCATATATTCAGTCTATGCTATTCTCAGAATCCTTCTGTAGAACCACAATTCTGTGCTTCAAGTCTCTTCTACATTTGTGAGAAAATTGTCCAGCATAGAAAGCAAATAATGAGAATAATATATTGCTTTCGAAAAAAAAATAGTTTATTAAATTTTTAAAGTTCATTAAAACAGGATAAACACCTGAGAGAAAAAGTCCAAGGGTATAATGGTTAAAACAATGATAAAGTTGCTAAGTCAACTCTGTCATAATGCACACCCTAGTGACTCATTTCCATCTTAATTTTTGATACAAGGATTTATCATTATTCACAGACTCAGGCACACTGGAGACAGGGTTAGCAATAACTGTGCAGTACAAAAAGAGAATGACAAAATAGGCCACAAAAATGACAGTGGAATGAGAATAATTTACGCCATAGATTAAATAAAGGGCTCAGTTTGAAATTCCTGAAAGGTTACCCAAATCAACAGGCAAAGGCCATAGAGCAGAGTGATCAAATCCTTGTGATAATAGCAACAAAGATGAGTAAAATCTTTGTTTATTTTATTTACTGTGTACTTTCAGGACATGAGCAAATACGGCTCTCCACAACTTCCTATCCATTGTAGATTGAAGTAATGTTTATCTCCTTTCTACCTCTATCATTCTCTGTTCTATCATCAATTTACACAAGCTCATTAGGTAGTTACCCAGGCTTTCCATTGTCCCTCTTTCTTTCAATATATCAGGTGAGTGTTATTCTTCAAGGCCTCTTCCTCATTATGTGACAATTCAATGAGAAATTTCAAACTTCTCTTTCAGATTCTATATAAAATTGTTCTTATTGTTTAAATTTTTCCAATTTTAAATGATGAATTCAGGGAAGCAGAATATCACTGATATTTTATTACAAATCCATGTTTGATCTAATTTAGTGTATCACTTGAGCTAATTGGCGGTAGTTCACAAGATGAATAGAACGGAAAAATGAATTCTAAATGTCAGATATATTATATGAAATACGTTCTAGAGCAGCATTTCCCATCTTGGAGGAGAGTGATCCCAGATTTGTAAATCCAAAACTGTTAGAATATTGATTTTTGTACAAACTACAATTCAACAATGCACCTTTTCATATAGACAAATTCAGAAGTAAGAATCACTTTCAGAAATATGATAAAAGTGGGGTGCACAGTTAAGAAAAAAATCATTTGTGAATGACTGTTCTAACATAAGAGATGAAAAGGAAAGTAAAAAGTACAAAAGTGAATTCCATATACCAGATATTACATGCACCTGAAAAAATGGCAATGAATGTATCACCTGAAATTAATCATTAAAGGGAAAGTAACTGAGCGGAAAGTGAATGTTAAAGACAAGATACAATATGTACCTGAGAATACAAAGAAATTATTAAGCAACAATGTATGAGATATTTTTCAAGGTAACTTCAGTTAACTTCAGTTGAGTTTCAGTAAATTATTCCTAATTTTGAAGGGAAAACATCAGATATTGGAATTTCTCTCGATCAATCTTTTCCTTTTTTTCCATGTTTTTATTCATATTTGTGGAGTCGTTATAGGAAAGGTGGAGAATATGAATATACATAATTTGATAACAAGATACAAAGCTAAATTTATTTATAGATAGTGAAGAAGAGCCTGGGATATATATATATATATATATATATATATATATAAGTAAACTCTGAAGTCAACACCCAATGAGTAAAAAGAATTGTGGATCTGAATGCAGTTATTTGTTGCTTGTTGACTTTTCTTACTCATTATTTATTATTCATGACTTTATTATTTAGGGGAATATTAGTGAACAATACCTGTATAATTCATGAAGAAAGTAATAAGTAGAAACTACAAATCCTTGAAGTAATCTTTATTAAAAAATTAAAACCAACACTTAGCAAAATTAATTATGAATATAGAACAAATGTTCTGAAATGTTTATAGTATATAGTTTTTTAAAAATATCTAAGTTACACCTAAACTGTTTAAAAACAAGTAACTTGTAACCATTTATTAATATTTTAGTTACTAAGTTACCTCCCTTCTGTTAACATTTTTAAAATTATGAAATTGATTTTATGTTCATGAGCATATTCACAATTGTAATAATTCAACCACAAGGAATTTCTCTTACAACATAAATTTTTAAAATCTGCATTTGTGATTTTGTGTATGACCTGAATTACTAACTGTTTAACCACAAACACAAAAATTTATTTTAGACAAACACAATTATTTGCTACCAAAACCTGGATGATGATATTGGAAAATATCAAAAGTACTTTGGATGGTTAATAAAAATGAATAGAACCACAGTACCTATCTTGGTGTCTTTAATCATGAAACAAGGAAACTTTTACATGATTATGAAAGGATTTTATTGAAAATAAACGAACATATGTCTAAATTGTTTAACCAGACATGTTTAAATATATATATATGTGTGTGTATGTGATATTTTATTATGGAAACCAGATTTTTTCACAAGAAGTTTGTTATTAACCAATGATGTTGGTAAAGTTTTCTGAATATTTTTGTATGTATAAAACAGGAAAATGCCATTAGAAACAAAGAAAAGAATACTGAAGCTGTTATGCAATATCAGTCTTCCTTTGTTCTTTGTTTCATCTGAGTTTTGAATCAACTGAAGTAAGAATAACATGCCTTTATTATTATAACCAAAATGCTGTGAAGTAATAATTTTCTTTATTTCTATTTTTTTTCAATAAAGGCAAGACATGTTTCAGAGAGACATGATGTGAAATAAATTCATAGCAGGAAAAATCATATTTAATTTATAATCTATCTGTAGGCTACCAAAACTAACACAAAAAACTGGAAAAAATTTAATTTTATTTGAGATGCAGAAAAAGATGATTTTTTGTTTTAGCAGCTAAGATATATTTCATGTAGCTTGTATATAACATTATTTAAATACGCATTCATTTTTCATATTTTTCATGCCTTAATCTGTGGATCTTTATAAGCAAATATTTTTCCCATTAAAAGAAAAAAATAATTTCA